TTAATATTAATATTAATATTAGTGTTAATATTAATATTAATATTAGTGTTAATATTAATATTAACACTAATATTAATGTTGATATTAACATTAATGTTAGTGTTAATGTTAATATCAATATTAATGTTATTATTGCTATTGATATTGCTGCTAATATTAATGGTGGTATTGATATTGATATTTTTATTATTAGTGCTATTAGTATTATTACTGCTATTATTATAATAATTATAAATATAGTGATTGTTATTTTAATTTTTGTTTTTACTCTTACTGTAGTTATTTTGATTATTATTCTTATTTCTAAATTTATTGCTACAGATGAGAACTTACTTTTTTTGATTCTTCAAATTGATTATTCCTCACTCTTTTTTGTAGCTATCATTCTTCTGTTATTTAGTAGTTTGCCAATAATAGTGGAAGCAGTCATAGAGCTAAGACAGTGGGGGCTGAAAGTTGAATTTAAATGAACCTTTTCTGTGTATTTGTCATTAACAGTAGAGAATAGCAAGGATATTGTGAGGAAAGTATTGTTGGAACAATGAGTGATGCGGCCGGTAGACAGTGTAGTGATTATCTGAAAAGAAGAAAAAATTTTTGCATATCTAATTAGTTGAGGGATAAACTGTGTATTGTTTGCATATATTTTTATTTCCAGTAGTTCAGTATTTTTGTTTATCTTTGGAATGCTCAGAATTGATTTTGCATTCTGCGGGTTTGCTCTGAAGTAAGCTCATTAAAAACAATTCTTTTGGTCCAAGGTTATTGCTCTTTTTCTATTATGAATTTAGAACAGCTAGCTGGCTGTATAGCTCCTTAGCTGACTGACTAATATCTGAGTGTGTATTTTAGTAACAGTTGGGCTGAAAAGTGCACTAAATGGCGTTTTTGTTGGATTATTTATGTAGATATTTACATACTTTCAAGTATTCTCATCTTCTAAATTACGGATAACAGGAAAAAGGGGAAATCTATTTTGAAAATTGATAAGCTGAAGTGGTTTCTGAAAAAGGTGAGGGAAGAGAGTGGAAGATTCTTGGTGGGAACGTACTCCTTCGTGAAGCACAGAAATGACGGAAGATTAATAAATTTTGGTGTGAAATTTATGACGTTTTTGTTCTTTTGTCTGTCTATTTATTTATTTAATTCACATGTTTGTTTTTCTTGCATTTAATTTTTTTTGTCTTGTTTTGTTAGGTAAAAAGACACATTAAGTTTTGGTGAGCATCAATTGAAATGAATGCTTGGAACGAGGATAGCTTGAGTGCATAGACGGAGCTTGATTAAGAAGGAAATGAAAATTTTTTTCTAGGATGTTCTCAGTTGTTCTCATCGTTGTCACTGTTGATTACGGCAGTGGGTCTGGCTGGAGTGAACCGACTATTTTTTACCTGGATGGTTACAAGTTTAGCTGAGGAGACGGGAAAAAGGGAGAAATTTGATCGCGGTGAATATTATGTTAAAGCGGTGTAAGTGTCGTTAAGTGCCTGTCTTTGAAACCAGGAAAACGACTGTTCTGAAAGTTCTTCAAAGTTCTTTTTGATAAGTACCTCGAAACAATCACTGTGTCAAAAAATGTTCAAATAATAAACATCTACTGATTTTTTTGTTTCTCTTATAAATTTAGTGTGCAGTCACTTCAAATAAATCGGTTACAGGTGGAGGGGAAAAAATTTCTTTAATGCCTTTTTTGTTTCTTGATCAATTCATCTTTTCAAGGTTTGTTAGTTTACTGATTATTTGCTTTGTCTTTGTTCCCGTTTTATATTCAGCAGCAGTAATGATTAGATTTTTGTAGCAGTGTCTGCAACGAAAAACACTTCTTTTCTTACTGTTGTTTGCGGAGATTAGGGCACAATATGTATCTGAAACAAATTGCGAACAGTTGATGTAATTTGTTTTCACTCTTCGCTTTTAAGTATTTTCGCATTTTATTCCAGCAAATCTTTGAAACGGAATTAGTGAAGTTAGTAATTTAAAATGAATGAATAAGACACGTTATTAGATATTCCTGAAATAAAAGTATCTGTTTTCTCATCCATTTCTTTTATTTTTTTGCAGTATTAGGTATTTTATTGAATTGTTGATATAATCTGTCTAATTCCTAGCGCTCATAACTTTGTTAAAGTAGGAGCAGTGACAAGTATCGGTGTTCATTAAAATTCTGCAGCCGAAGAAAGCAACACTGATCAATTTATCAGCTGTATAAACGCTACTGTGATAGGTCGTGCTAGTCTCTTCAG